GTTAATACATTTATATAATCACCTACAGACATGCCATTAATCCAGGAATTAAACTTAAGCCTTTTAACATCTTAATACAATCTGTCGCTCTTATTAATAAAGTTTTTTTCTGGATATTTTAAAGCTTTTATTAGGAAAAAAAGGGAAACTTCTGGTCTTCCTAATAAATAAAAGCTCTGACATCTTTTTTGTACCCACTCAGGAGTTTAAAAGCTCTTCTCTCTTCTGCTGAGTGCCTTTAAAACTCTATGAGATAATCTAAGCAAGATAAGTTGTTGTGGAAATGTCGCCAATAAAGTGAATTCCAAGGAAGCAGCTGCCTTTCAGTCATATTACAGCTGTCGTATTTCTAATGGACTCGTCTCTCCAAAGGAAACAACTCCTTGCAGCAGAGAAATAAAAACCATCCATATTAGCACGTCTTAACCCTCCTTCTATTACTGATAACAAAAGCAACTTGTTAGAAAATGTGAGCTAATTTTAAGACGAAGCATATGTCATCACATAGATGTGTCTCTGTCTGTATTTACATGCTGTACAAAGAAAATTAATAAACACAGATATCATGTGAAACAATCAGAGCGTTTCTGGCTTGACAACAAGTTACACCATCACTCCAAAGTAAGCTGCTGAATAAGAAATGTGGCTCTCCCGTGCCTTTAAAAAAGCTCTGACAGCTCTAACAGGGTTGTTGTTATGAACTGTATATGAAAAAATAAGCGTGTGGCGTTCAGAGCTGTTTGCTTTAGTTTGGATGTTTATTGCTGCCAGTCTGGATGTTTCAGAGCAGCGTCAAAGCAGCAGCGAGCAGAGCTGCGATGACTCCCGTGCTCGCTCTGTGGACAGATGCTGCTACCGCTGTCTGACTCGCAGTCAGCCACTTTGAAAAAATGCTGACTCGTGCGTACACCCCAGGCTTGAGAGGAAGTCCACACTCGTCTCCGAAGCTCGTCACGCCAACCAGATAAAACCTATCCTGATTCTCGCTGTAGCACTGCAGCGGGCCCCCGCTGTCACCCTGAAGCAGACACAAACAGTGTGAAGTTTTCTTTCAACCAGCCCGTAGTGACTTAATAAAAAACAAAAACAAAACCCAAGGATCAGCACCTGACAGGAATCGGCTGCTCCGCTCTCCAGTCCTGCGCAGATCATCTTCTCAGTGATGATGCCGTTATACCAGGTGACCCGGTTACATGTTTGTCTGTCGATGAGCTCCACCTCAGCTTCCTGCAGTTTGTTCGTCAGCGGGCCTGCAGTTCACACACCAAAGATGCTTTGAAAAAACTTTATTAATATATGTGACGTAATGTGAGAGTGACATTTAAAAACAGAGGAAAATAATCATGCTTTCAGTATCTACATGATATAATATATTCAAAAACAGGTCACTAGCAGCCCATTGTGACTCAGTTGTAGACTGTGATAGCCACACTTGTGCGACCTGCCCTAGAAATGACAGTTTTCCACATCTGTTGCGCTGAGTGACCGCCCAACTCGAAGCTGATGTGCCACCTTATTTGTGAGGCCCTGTAATCTGGTCAACAAATGCCTTGCGCAGCATGAACACCTGATTTGACAACTCTGCACTTCTCAGGTTTCAGAGTGCATCCCAGTGATCTCCATATGGCGTTTCACTGATTCTTTCTTTCTATTCTGTGTGATCTTTTCTGTTTCCAGGAGTTGTTGTAGAGATATAAGAGCCTGACCTGATACCCGACTTTTCCTAGTTTCCTTGAGTGCTTTCTATGGCTCATCCATTGAAATGGATATACACAGCCGAGCTCTAACTGGGACTTGAAGTTGTGTTAAAGAGGTTCTAAAACCGTTCCTTTCATCACTCAGTGGTGTCCTTCATATCTCCTGTCAGATGTCACATCATGTGGATACCACAGTTTGCCTTCAGTGCAGCAAACAAGCCTTGGGAGTCGTTCTTATCTGACAGAATCTGCAATTCTTCTCCTTCTTTTTGTAGCATCAGGAACTCCAAGTGTTTCTTTCTTCTTTCTTTCTGCGTTTTGGTCTTTACTGTGAGGAAGGCTGGTTCTGACTTTCTAGAAGTTTCTGGATTTCTACACAATCCTCTGAAAACCAGCGGGCTGTATTTTGAGTAGCAGCCTTCAAGATCTCAAGATGTTCTTGAGAATCTTCAAGAGCCAGTTCAACTGCCCTGGCAAATCTTTTTGGTATTCAGCACATGCCAGCTTCACAACATCAAGTTTTCTAGTTTTCATCTTATGAGGTAGGCTTCAAGGCTAAGACGAGCTCTAACATTCAGCAACGTGCATTATCTCTGTTGATAAGAACTTATGAAAGGCAGCATTGCAAGCCACATAATAGTCAAGTAGATGTTGCGTTCACTTGCCAGTGGAGTTCATTTCACCTTTACTAAAATTTCTCATCGTTCTCTTTGTAAACTTTTCCTGCTCTCACATTAAACTTCCAGAGGATGAGAAGTTTGTCTGCTGCACTGATGACTTCTAAAACCGGACATACAGATAATACAGCTGCAAATACTTCAGAACCCCTTCACTTTTTGCATGCTTTGGTTGACATCAATAAACTCAGCTATTTCAATCATTTTCTTAACCTTTCATCTGACTTGTGTTGCCAGGAGCTGGCAGAGCCCACATTCACATGTGTTAATAAAAGATAAAAAGTAAATCTTCAGTAGTAAATCTCTGTTTCTCTACCTGATAAATGTGTAAAATTGAAGAAAAAGTTCTGCTATCTCACTGTACACACTCTCCTATTACCTATTTACAAAAACAACAAACAGGTTTTATTAATTTTCAAAAATGTTCTTTTGTTGAACTAAAGTTTCTATGGTAGAAAATGGAAAACAAACTTTTTTGTCATTTACTTGTTTATCTATTACTTAGCTCCTTTGATATAGTATAAATGGGTGTGGGTGTTGGTCTTTGTCAGCATGTAAAGTTGTAAAACTTATAAAAATAAGTTTAAAAGTCCAAAAATTTTAAATTCACTTTTTCCAAAAATGTAAAATGGGCCATATTGGCTCCAATTTTGCCCCCCAGACCTTATGTTTGACATCCCTGCCCTAAACTAAATACAAATTTTTCTTATTTTAAAATAGTAACTCTGGCCTTTCCCACCTTTGTAATAGGTGCTTCCCCATCCACTGACGAAGCAGTGGCTGAGGTTGAGCATGGCCTCGTGGATCACATCACCAGGAAGGCAAATAGGTTGGATGTAGTTGGTGAACTTAAAGGGCGAGCTGAGCAGCAACAGCGTCACATCGTTATCGGATGTGAAAATGTTGTAACCATCGTGCATTTTCACTCCCCTGATGGAGCGGACCTGGGCGTATTTTCCTGGAGAAGATAGCGTATTTAGTCCTGCCACCACACGAAAATAGCTCAGGCCGATCCGTCTGGACACAAAAGAAAAGAGTGTAAAAAAACAACAACATATACATATACGTCAGCGTTTACCTTCATGCCAATAACGTTGAGGTAAAGACCCCCCCCCCAATTGTTTGTGCAAAGTGCCCTAACTGTTACTTTTAAGGGACTCACAGGTGATGGTAGAAGCAGTGTGTGGCAGTGAGCACCCAGACGCTGCTGAGGATAGTGCCACCACAGTGGTGTCTGTATTGGATCTGGATGCTGACCTGCCATGGCCACGCCCCCTCGGGAGCTTCCCGGCCACCCACGATCCGAGAAGCACCTGGAGGACCAAAAAGAGGCCGTTCCCCACAACCTAATAAAGATAATAAAAAAAAAGGTTTTAAGTTGACTTGTACGTAAACTTTAAATGTGTTTCTCATTTTAATGTGAAAAACACATTAAAGCTCCTTTCTAGTGTTACTCACCACTCAAACATACAGGTCATATTGGTCGTAGTCTCACAATAATATTGTAGTACTGGTTGACGCTTTAACATATTAGGATACTATTACCATATAATGATAATAGCATTAACCTTAATTACTTGGACATTACTTGGATACTAGTAATATCGCCTTAACTGGATTATTGAGAGGGATCCAACATTAACTTTCTGGGGTAATAACCTGCTATTTTTATACTGTTACCTGCTTGTTTCTCCTTGTTCACCCCCCTATTACCACATTCTTGCCGAGCTGTACTAAAAAGTGCTACCGAATAATTTTCAAAGCGCAACAGACATCCAAAATAGCCAATGATTATATAGGTTTTGGTGACAGCAGTGGTGATAGAAACCAAACGAATATATATAAAATATAAAAATTTGAATAAAATTGTATTAGTTGTTTTTGTCTGCTTTTGTGATAACACATAATAGTGAATAGTGGGTGAATGGTTTAATTTTTCTTAAATTGCAAAACTGCGGGTGATGTGCTAATTAATCTTTCTGTTAGTAAAGAAACAAAGAAAGTACATTTTCAGCGAGGAAGTGAACTGAGTGTATCACTGAGACATCATCATATCATAACACAAATAAAATGTTTATCAGGTAAAGTGCTGAGTCACAGTCAGCACATGGACCCAGTAAAGTTAGCGGCTCAATATTAGCCAAAAAGCTGAACTGAGACACCTGTTTAAAACAAAACAAAACAAAACTTATATTAGTTCATTAGAAAATTAGAAAAATTCACCTAAATAACACTCGGGTCCAAGAAAGAGGGGCTTTGCTAAAAAACAACAACAACAAAAAAAACAAAACGCCGAAAACCCCCCCCGCAAAACAGGATCTGAAGTTACTGATAACCAAAAACTGGCTGAATACTTTACTAAAAAGTGGAGGAAAAGAAGAAATAACACTAAAACTTCTGCAGGTACTCACTCTTCTGTGGCGAAGTGGATAATGCGGTCAAATAGCAGACGTTCAGACACAGGAGAAAACCTTTTAACTCCATTTAGTTTCAACTCTTTTCCTTCATAAATGTAAATATAAATATATATGTGTGTATTTTTGATCGCAAACAGAAACTGTTCCGACCACCGATGACGTCAGGTGCACGTTCAGCTCTTTTGATCTGCGTAAAAAAAGTTTTAACGGAAAAGCAGCTACTCTACAGAAACGTGAAAGCTCTTGATATATTTTAAGGCTCCGTTTGGATTGATTCACACACGAGCTCGCGCATTACGTAACAGCAAAAAGACAGAGGGCAGGTTACCGGATTAAGAGCTGCCTATTTGCATTTAAATTTGTGCTATTAAAGGGCGAAGTGCTGGAGGAGGCCTGTAAGTGAAAACAGTCATTTGGAGATGAGGTGCTCGGCTTAAATAATATATTTGCAAGTATGTGACGATAAGTGAACAAATGTTTATAACACTGAACATGTGAGAAAGAGAAACAATTAAGGCGTTAGTTGTGTGTTCGCGCGCGCGTGTGCGTAACTGTCTTTTCATTCACTCATCAGCTTTAATGTCCTCAAGAAACTATTATTTTCTTCCCATATCTCAGACATGTAGTGGCCTCCCCTATTTGAATGCCTACACATGATAAATTCCTGCATTACACACACATTACACACACACTGCACACACACACTGCTCACACAGTGAGCCAATGCGTTTTGTCAGGAAAACCTTGAGCGTGTTTTCTGCGCACAGTCTCTCACCATGGATCATCCCTGATCCTGTGCTGTGAGGCGCTCACTGGGGGGGTTTGGAGTCTGCGGGCCTAAATGACCTTTACGATTTTACGAAACGCGCTCTCCGACACTCCCTCACATTCTGCTGAGAGTCATCAATTATGCAGGAAAACCGCTCGCGCTGAGGGGGAAGGTAGCAGCAACAATATGGCGACAACCGCAGTTTCTCCCCAAGCTTTTTCACATCTGCAGTCCTGCAACGGCTCTCTGGATTCATTGTAACGCTTACGAAGTGAGTATCCTTCGCTTGTAACCGTTGGGGAAAGCCTGGCGCGCGTCGGTAGGTGAGGGCAGATTTTCTCTCCGTCGGTAGGCTATCCCTGCGTAGCCTAAATGTCGCAGAGCTGCACACTGCCCCGCATCTTTTTTTGGGGGAGCGAGCGCGACGAAACAGGGTGTCTGCGCTCGATGGGCATCTACCGACCAGTGCGAAGAGGGAGGGAAATATATTTAACAGCCAGTTGTTGTCGGAATTTATCAGATTAACCATTTCACCGAGGATCGGAGGTACTGATTAGAAAACAGGGGAGGGAGGAGAAAATGTCTCATAGGTTAGGCTTCAGGCAGGGCGCCGTCTGACTTCTTCGAAGCCCAAAAAACTTTGTAGGTTTTTATTTTTAATTTGGGCTTTTTTCTTTATATCCTCCGGACTAAAGGATGATGCACTTGAAACCCCACAAGGCTTCAAGAAGGGGCTGATGCTATGTAAGTAGCCCGATCTTCTTTCCATCACCGACAGACGGGAAATTTGCATTCCTCCAGGTGATTTTGGCGTGACATGAGCATTGCTGTTTTCTAATCGTCGTGTTTAACGCCGTGGTGCAGACTGTGTGTTACTTTTAGCTTCGCAGCCTGGGTTATTTGTGCACAGATAGAGCCTTATTGATTTGGCAGTCGACATGGCTTCACGGGTGTGGTGCAGATCCTTGAAGACAACGCGCAAAAGCGCACAGAACATCCCGGAGAGGACAAAAAAACCCCAAGAAAAACAAAACCATGTTTGCTGTTTCACAGGGAGGACAAAATGTACCTGATTGTTATTTTTACATCGACACCACACTCGTGACTTTGATCCACGGTTGCGCTTACCTCAGCGTGACAATTTTTAACATGTAAACCTCCCACTGCAGCAATACAGCTTTGGCCAATTTGGTTGTAGCGGGCCACTTCACTGCGCAGTATAACCCACAGCTTCTCTGTGAAGCTCAGCACAGGAATAGATTGGAAACGCAGTGGCTCGCTAATTCAAACCTTTAGGAAACAAGTTGATTTGACCGAGAAGATGCCAGAATGTTCTCCGTTTCTGTGTGACACTGATCGCACTGCTAGGCTTAGATGTAAGCAGCAGCCGATGGGACGGATAACGAGACGAGTGTTGCCACCACGACTTAATAATCGAGGAGATTTGAAGGATAAACTACAGGCCTGAAGGTGTCGGGGAAGAAAAAGAAAAAAGAAAAGAACGGAGGGTTGTGTGCACCCCCCGCACCTTTTTTGTAGGCACTCACGTGCGCGCGCACGTGTATGAATATGAGCTCGTGCAGTGCTGAAGCGGACAGCGCCAGCCTCGCAGCAGAAGGCTCCGAGGTTCTGGTGTCCATTTTAAAACAGACCTCTCGCCTCACCTGCTTCACGTCTCCTGTGCTTTTTCCACCGAGTGTCGGGACACGCAGAGTGGAGTCTTTCCCGTGTGATGCCAGCTTTAACGCGTCGAACATTTCAATTAGACGCTGTTATGTAAGAGGGAGGCAGGGAAGTGACGGGGCCCGCTGACTCAAATATGGCCGCCTGTCCTGTTCAGGCTGCAGACACCTTGCTCCTGTTGAAATGAAAGGATTTTGCGCTGCAGCAGCAGGTGGAACACAGGGCGAAGAGAGGGGAGGGCGATGTTTTAGAAATCCTCCAAAAATTCTAATGATTTCGTTAATTTTTCAAGTCTGGCTTAACTGAACGCTAATTTCAGCTCCTTCCTCTTTGCTTCAGCACTGCCCGGTGTTCCTGCAGCTTGAACATTTGTCATGTTACCCTCTTTGCGTTTTGGAGAAAGCCTTTACTGTAAGGCCTTTTATTCTCAGCCTTTTTGTTTAACAGAGTCATGAGGGGTGAGACTTTTAAACCTGTGGTTTGATTTTTTGTGCAGGTGGAACTTGGTCTTCATTCAATTAATTATAAAATACATCTTCTTTAATATTTACATATTTGTTTGTTAACCTGTGCAACATCTGATTTACCATGGCAACGCAAATATATGTAACCAATAAAAAAATACAACCTGAGGTGAAATGGCAAAACCGACCATATTCATCAACTGAAGCATATACCACTGGTTTGGAGTTCTTTCTTGGTAAAACAGCTCCTCAAAGGTTGGAAATGACTGAATATGCATGTTTTTATATAAACCTACACATTTGCCTGTGTAGGTTCACAGTCATCCAGGTCATGGTTGACTAGAAAGCTTGAAATAAGAATGCAACTGGGCTTCTTTAGGCTTGTGAAAACCTCTCATCCAAAAGGCTTCCTCAGTATATTATCTGATATTTCCCCCATCTTATGAGAATAACCATTATGCGTTGCTCTTTAACACTCTTATCTAAAATATTCTCTTTATTTAAGTCAACCACACACTCTGCTGCTTCAGAGGATCATTTAACAAATGTCTGTTAATGGTTCTCTTCAGCTCTCTTCCTTAATGGAGATAAACTAGATGGAGGAGATCTGTTAGCCTGCAAATGCTTATACACACACACACACATATATATATATATATTTAACATTACAAGATCTCAACATTTTCTTGTTCTTTTGGTGCATAAAATAACATTTTGCAGCTGTATTGTCTCCTTTTTCTGTAATCTTTCTAAATGGGCACCCAGCTAACTGTTAATTTCAGGCCACCATTTTTGTAGTACGTCATTTCATGTTATATTCCCCCCTCCTGCTTCCCGCAGAGCTGCTACCGTGGATGGTACAAACCTAAAGACTAAGTAGCTGCAGGATGAAAACATGGCCGCACCCCTTCTTGCACCGCCAGGACCTGACAGCTTCAGGAAGTTTACTCCAGAATCTTTGGCGGTCCTTGAGCTGCGCATCCAAGAGGAGAAGAACAAAAAGCCACCCAAGCAGGACAGCAGCTACCGTGACGACGATGACGAGAACAAGCCCAAACCCAACAGTGACCTGGAGGCTGGGAAGAGCCTGCCCTACATCTATGGGGACATCCCTAAGGGAATGGCGGCGGTACCACTGGAGGATCTGGACCCATTCTACGTGAATTCTCAAAAAGTGAGTATTCACACACACACACACACACACACACACACACACACACACACACACACACACACACACACAACAATGATTTTAGTCAAATTGAGCGCTGGCTTTATTCTAAAACAAAGTATCTGACTGTCATTGTCCCTCACTCTCAGGCTTCCAAAATGCTCAAAATATTCCTCCCAAAAACCTTTAATATTGCATTTATCCCTGCGTAGCCTAAATGTCGCAGAGCTGCACACTGCCCCGCATCTTTTTTTGGGGGAGCGAGCGCGACGAAACAGGGTGTCTGCGCTCGATGGGCATCTACCGACCAGTGCGAAGAGGGAGGGAAATATATTTAACAGCCAGTTGTTGTCGGAATTTATCAGATTAACCATTTCACCGAGGATCGGAGGCACTGATTAGAAAACAGGGGAGGGAGGAGAAAATGTCTCATAGGTTAGGCTTCAGGCAGGGCGCCGTCTGACTTCTTCGAAGCCCAAAAAACTTTGTAGGTTTTTATTTTTAATTTGGGCTTTTTTCTTTATATCCTCCGGACTAAAGGATGATGCACTTGAAACCCCACAAGGCTTCAAGAAGGGGCTGATGCTATGTAAGTAGCCCGATCTTCTTTCCATCACCGACAGACGGGAAATTTGCATTCCTCCAGGTGATTTTGGCGTGACATGAGCATTGCTGTTTTCTAATCGTCGTGTTTAACGCCGTGGTGCAGACTGTGTGTTACTTTTAGCTTCGCAGCCTGGGTTATTTGTGCACAGATAGAGCCTTATTGATTTGGCAGTCGACATGGCTTCACGGGTGTGGTGCAGATCCTTGAAGACAACGCGCAAAAGCGCACAGAACATCCCGGAGAGGACAAAAAAACCAAAAAACAACAACATATACATATACGTCAGCGTTTACCTTCATGCCAATAACGTTGAGGTAAAGACCCCCCCCCCAATTGTTTGTGCAAAGTGCCCTAACTGTTACTTTTAAGGGACTCACAGGTGATGGTAGAAGCAGTGTGTGGCAGTGAGCACCCAGACGCTGCTGAGGATAGTGCCACCACAGTGGTGTCTGTATTGGATCTGGATGCTGACCTGCCATGGCCACGCCCCCTCGGGAGCTTCCCGGCCACCCACGATCCGAGAAGCACCTGGAGGACCAAAAAGAGGCCGTTCCCCACAACCTAATAAAGATAATAAAAAAAAAGGTTTTAAGTTGACTTGTACGTAAACTTTAAATGTGTTTCTCATTTTAATGTGAAAAACACATTAAAGCTCCTTTCTAGTGTTACTCACCACTCAAACATACAGGTCATATTGGTCGTAGTCTCACAATAATATTGTAGTACTGGTTGACGCTTTAACATATTAGGATACTATTACCATATAATGATAATAGCATTAACCTTAATTACTTGGACATTACTTGGATACTAGTAATATCGCCTTAACTGGATTATTGAGAGGGATCCAACATTAACTTTCTGGGGTAATAACCTGCTATTTTTATACTGTTACCTGCTTGTTTCTCCTTGTTCACCCCCCTATTACCACATTCTTGCCGAGCTGTACTAAAAAGTGCTACCGAATAATTTTCAAAGCGCAACAGACATCCAAAATAGCCAATGATTATATAGGTTTTGGTGACAGCAGTGGTGATAGAAACCAAACGAATATATATAAAATATAAAAATTTGAATAAAATTGTATTAGTTGTTTTTGTCTGCTTTTGTGATAACACATAATAGTGAATAGTGGGTGAATGGTTTAATTTTTCTTAAATTGCAAAACTGCGGGTGATGTGCTAATTAATCTTTCTGTTAGTAAAGAAACAAAGAAAGTACATTTTCAGCGAGGAAGTGAACTGAGTGTATCACTGAGACATCATCATATCATAACACAAATAAAATGTTTATCAGGTAAAGTGCTGAGTCACAGTCAGCACATGGACCCAGTAAAGTTAGCGGCTCAATATTAGCCAAAAAGCTGAACTGAGACACCTGTTTAAAACAAAACAAAACAAAACTTATATTAGTTCATTAGAAAATTAGAAAAATTCACCTAAATAACACTCGGGTCCAAGAAAGAGGGGCTTTGCTAAAAAACAACAACAACAAAAAAAACAAAACGCCGAAAACCCCCCCCGCAAAACAGGATCTGAAGTTACTGATAACCAAAAACTGGCTGAATACTTTACTAAAAAGTGGAGGAAAAGAAGAAATAACACTAAAACTTCTGCAGGTACTCACTCTTCTGTGGCGAAGTGGATAATGCGGTCAAATAGCAGACGTTCAGACACAGGAGAAAACCTTTTAACTCCATTTAGTTTCAACTCTTTTCCTTCATAAATGTAAATATAAATATATATGTGTGTATTTTTGATCGCAAACAGAAACTGTTCCGACCACCGATGACGTCAGGTGCACGTTCAGCTCTTTTGATCTGCGTAAAAAAAGTTTTAACGGAAAAGCAGCTACTCTACAGAAACGTGAAAGCTCTTGATATATTTTAAGGCTCCGTTTGGATTGATTCACACACGAGCTCGCGCATTACGTAACAGCAAAAAGACAGAGGGCAGGTTACCGGATTAAGAGCTGCCTATTTGCATTTAAATTTGTGCTATTAAAGGGCGAAGTGCTGGAGGAGGCCTGTAAGTGAAAACAGTCATTTGGAGATGAGGTGCTCGGCTTAAATAATATATTTGCAAGTATGTGACGATAAGTGAACAAATGTTTATAACACTGAACATGTGAGAAAGAGAAACAATTAAGGCGTTAGTTGTGTGTTCGCGCGCGCGTGTGCGTAACTGTCTTTTCATTCACTCATCAGCTTTAATGTCCTCAAGAAACTATTATTTTCTTCCCATATCTCAGACATGTAGTGGCCTCCCCTATTTGAATGCCTACACATGATAAATTCCTGCATTACACACACATTACACACACACTGCACACACACACTGCTCACACAGTGAGCCAATGCGTTTTGTCAGGAAAACCTTGAGCGTGTTTTCTGCGCACAGTCTCTCACCATGGATCATCCCTGATCCTGTGCTGTGAGGCGCTCACTGGGGGGGTTTGGAGTCTGCGGGCCTAAATGACCTTTACGATTTTACGAAACGCGCTCTCCGACACTCCCTCACATTCTGCTGAGAGTCATCAATTATGCAGGAAAACCGCTCGCGCTGAGGGGGAAGGTAGCAGCAACAATATGGCGACAACCGCAGTTTCTCCCCAAGCTTTTTCACATCTGCAGTCCTGCAACGGCTCTCTGGATTCATTGTAACGCTTACGAAGTGAGTATCCTTCGCTTGTAACCGTTGGGGAAAGCCTGGCGCGCGTCGGTAGGTGAGGGCAGATTTTCTCTCCGTCGGTAGGCTATCCCTGCGTAGCCTAAATGTCGCAGAGCTGCACACTGCCCCGCATCTTTTTTTGGGGGAGCGAGCGCGACGAAACAGGGTGTCTGCGCTCGATGGGCATCTACCGGCTGAACCAGTGCGAAGAGGGAGGGAAATATATTTAACAGCCAGTTGTTGTCGGAATTTATCAGATTAACCATTTCACCGAGGATCGGAGGTACTGATTAGAAAACAGGGGAGGGAGGAGAAAATGTCTCATAGGTTAGGCTTCAGGCAGGGCGCCGTCTGACTTCTTCGAAGCCCAAAAAACTTTGTAGGTTTTTATTTTTAATTTGGGCTTTTTTCTTTATATCCTCCGGACTAAAGGATGATGCACTTGAAACCCCACAAGGCTTCAAGAAGGGGCTGATGCTATGTAAGTAGCCCGATCTTCTTTCCATCACCGACAGACGGGAAATTTGCATTCCTCCAGGTGATTTTGGCGTGACATGAGCATTGCTGTTTTCTAATCGTCGTGTTTAACGCCGTGGTGCAGACTGTGTGTTACTTTTAGCTTCGCAGCCTGGGTTATTTGTGCACAGATAGAGCCTTATTGATTTGGCAGTCGACATGGCTTCACGGGTGTGGTGCAGATCCTTGAAGACAACGCGCAAAAGCGCACAGAACATCCCGGAGAGGACAAAAAAACCCCAAGAAAAACAAAACCATGTTTGCTGTTTCACAGGGAGGACAAAATGTACCTGATTGTTATTTTTACATCGACACCACACTCGTGACTTTGATCCACGGTTGCGCTTACCTCAGCGTGACAATTTTTAACATGTAAACCTCCCACTGCAGCAATACAGCTTTGGCCAATTTGGTTGTAGCGGGCCACTTCACTGCGCAGTATAACCCACAGCTTCTCTGTGAAGCTCAGCACAGGAATAGATTGGAAACGCAGTGGCTCGCTAATTCAAACCTTTAGGAAACAAGTTGATTTGACCGAGAAGATGCCAGAATGTTCTCCGTTTCTGTGTGACACTGATCGCACTGCTAGGCTTAGATGTAAGCAGCAGCCGATGGGACGGATAACGAGACGAGTGTTGCCACCACGACTTAATAATCGAGGAGATTTGAAGGATAAACTACAGGCCTGAAGGTGTCGGGGAAGAAAAAGAAAAAAGAAAAGAACGGAGGGTTGTGTGCACCCCCCGCACCTTTTTTGTAGGCACTCACGTGCGCGCGCACGTGTATGAATATGAGCTCGTGCAGTGCTGAAGCGGACAGCGCCAGCCTCGCAGCAGAAGGCTCCGAGGTTCTGGTGTCCATTTTAAAACAGACCTCTCGCCTCACCTGCTTCACGTCTCCTGTGCTTTTTCCACCGAGTGTCGGGACACGCAGAGTGGAGTCTTTCCCGTGTGATGCCAGCTTTAACGCGTCGAACATTTCAATTAGACGCTGTTATGTAAGAGGGAGGCAGGGAAGTGACGGGGCCCGCTGACTCAAATATGGCCGCCTGTCCTGTTCAGGCTGCAGACACCTTGCTCCTGTTGAAATGAAAGGATTTTGCGCTGCAGCAGCAGGTGGAACACAGGGCGAAGAGAGGGGAGGGCGATGTTTTAGAAATCCTCCAAAAATTCTAATGATTTCGTTAATTTTTCAAGTCTGGCTTAACTGAACGCTAATTTCAGCTCCTTCCTCTTTGCTTCA